ATCCCATTGACTGTCATTTAGATTCCTAAGTGCCTAAAGATCTTTTAAAAATGAAATTGAGGCTCCTAAATCAGGTGCTGAGACCCTGACTGCAGCAACCCCTAAATACTTTTTAAAAATCTGGCCCTAAATCATTTTCAAATTTCATTATTCTCATAGAGCTTTAGGTGCCTAAGGCCTAGATGTTCAAAGGAATTTAGATGCCTAACTCCCATTTTGGGAGTGAGAAGCTTTAATACCTTGGAGGATCTGAACCTAAGTGCCTAAGTCACCTTTGAAAAATGAATTTAGGCTCCCAAGTCACTGAGACACTTTTGGAAATTTTACCCCACATCTACCCCAACATCGTTACAATGTCTTTATTTTGAGAGTAGTTTCAAAATAACAGCTAGATGTGTGATGGATTTTGTGTTGGTGAACTAAATTTATTAAGCAATTTAAATATATTCTGTTAAAAATATTATGGGCAACAAGATGTAAAAAAACCCGCAGGTCTGTTAGTGATAACATGATGCTTTCAAGTTGAAACCTAATAACAGCATTGTTTCAGTATTAAGTCTGCAAAGCCCTTACTCTGACAAATCTCTGCTGACTGGGTTAATGCTCCATTAGAGAAAAAGCGCGTTATTAAAAATTCAATAAAAAAACAGATTTTCATATTTTAGAATTGCATTATATAAAGAAAAAAACACAGACTTGCTGAGAAATTATTCAAAGGAATATGTCGAATCAAACCAAAATTAAACAACAATTATCAGATTTTGGTGAAAAAACAAGATTACAAAAAGAACAGGAGTACTTGTGGCACCTTAGAGACTAACAAATTTATTAGAGCATAAGCTTTCGTGGACTACAGCCCTCCACGAAAGCTTATGCTCTAATAAATTTGTTAGTTTCTAAGGCCAGGAGTACTCCTGTTCTTTTTGCGGATACAGATTAACACGGCTGCTACTCTGAAACCAAGATTACAAAGTATGCTGAAATATCTATAAGGGAACCTTGTTCAATTAAAAATGTACCTGATGATTGGTAACATTTAACTTTCATAATGGGACAAATTCTGCTGTTAGTTACACCAGTGTAAATCTTTAGTAACTGTAT